ATACTAGCAGTAGAGCCCAGCGTTGCCTGGGGATGTAACAGTAAGAGATAGATCAAGTATCGACCATCATAAAGACTGAAAAATAAAATTGACAAAGATTATTGTTTTAGGTTGACGGACACGCATGTCTTAATTAGTTTTTTTTTATTTTTATTACGAATTGGTCAAACCCAAACTCAAACAAAAACATTGTTTTCAATCGTTATGAGTCTACCGATTGAATAGAATTTTATTATAAACCATTGTCTTGTGAATGGAATTTTTAAAGCATTCTGAATGTAAAAATAAAGAAGAAAGTGTGCAAGACAATAAGAAACACTACCTGCCAAAAAAAGTGAAGTTGAAAAATGTAGAAAATCCGATCCCATATATAAACGAACACACACACACACAAACAACCTGGGTTTTATAATAAGTATAACTTGATATGAGTTGCCCTCCTTTCATTCTCGTGATGCCTCTTAATCGTGTTTTCAAATTGATTTCGTGCAAAAACAATTGTGTTTTTCTAATTTTTGGCGCTGTCAGAACCAGTGCAAGGTAATTTTACGTAGTCCTGTGAAGTTTTGTTGAAATCGGTTGAAAAATGTAGGAAATCCGATCCAATATATAAACGTACATTTTAAAGGTGCTTTAATCTACAAATCACTCGATGAATGTTTTGATCCTTGTTTTTAAAAATTATAAGCTGTATAATGTTTTTTTATTAATACGCAATTATTTCAACTTTATTATTAATATAAATTATAGCTCTTTTATTATACATCGAATATAATTTTATTAGCACCAGCGACCAATCTATGACATTTTATATTAGTTGGCTGATTTTATAGCGGCATATCAATCTCTATGGATTATTTAATGACGAAATCGAAATATTTTTTAACACAAAGTTATGGCGTAATTGTACGTTTTTAACTACATCAAATGCATTCTGAGTAATTTTACTATCAATAGATATTGTTGGTAATTTTTTAGAGGAATGTATCGCTGTTAAGTTTACGAAAATATAGTATTTGGTTTCTGTTTCTGGGCTGGGTTATTATTTTTCCATAGTTGGGACTCTAACAGATTCTACCACTCTGCGTTAGAGTGGACTCGGGATCAACAACAATTAAGTGGGGCTTCCACGATCCTCAAAACCCCGATTACAGGCCTGGTTACCAGTTATATTTTATCGCCATATATATATATATATATATATATATATATATATATATATATATATATATATAAAAGTCAAAACTCAGAGGCGACAGGCTGTTTCATGCTAGACGCGGCCTGACGATTAGGTCTAGCTTGAAACAGCCTGTCGCCTCTGAGTGCTGACTTCAATGTTCACTTTTATATTTATATTTACATACTCTATCTCTGATATTGAGCACTTTATCGCATAAATATATCACACTTTAAAACTATATATATATATATATATATATATATATATATATATATATATATATATTCTGTCGTATGGTTGTGAGTTTGTAACCCTGGGTTTCATGCTTTTTGCAATCAGTAGAGGTTGTAATATATATATATATATATATATATATATATATATATATATATATATATATATATATACATGTATATATATATATATATATATTTGCTGTTCAATAGATATATGTTAAACTATGCACGTATCTCTAGTTTTCGTGACATAGTTCGTGAAAATCCGCCACATTCAAACTCATTTTCTAATAAGTAGTTATTGCCGAGTCAGTAATGATAAAATTAAGTCTGGACACGAGCTGACGCGGCCATCAAGTCGGTTAAGCTCCTTACAATGGAAATGCTGCCGTGATGCAAGAAATTAGTCCATCGGCGCTAAAGGTCAATCGTTGGAAATAAAATGGCTGTCGTCTGTGATTATTCACCTTTTGTGACCGATGTCATAGTCATGCTGCTCGTTAAAAGGTCAGGATATTTAACAATTAAAATTACTTTTTAATACGCATAACTTGTATTAAAATGTCAGGCTCATAATAAATTTTTGCGTCCGGTGAAAATAACCACTTTTCTCCATCCGAACGTGGCACAAACCGAATTTGGAATTTTGGAATAAACACTGCCATTGCTGTATAGAAAACGACTACTTCGAAAGAAACGATGGAGTTTGAGTATTGAGTTTTTTTGATTGATTTGGGTTTTTTACAGTTTATCAACCATTTTGATATTGTTAAAAGCCAGAAAATATTTTTAGATACTAAGATTTATTTTCTTTAGATAATTATGGTTTAGTGATATAAGTTTTACTAATTAATCCATAAATGGGGTGAAGAGGTGGATACATGCCTTTTCCAAGGATATTACTCATAAGTGAACATGACGAACGCAACTGGAATTGGAACTCGGCTCTCCGATTAACAATTCCGAGTCATTAAACCACCCGCACACCCAAGCTTACAGCACCTGACATTCCCAAACGGTCGCCCATCTAAGTACGGACCATGCTCGACGTTGCTTAACTTCGGTGATTGTATGGAAACCGGTTAGTTTTCAATCAGAACCCGACGATTGCATCGTGCATGAAACTCAACGTTAAGCTACCGTTGTAGGAAAAAATTATATTTATTATTAATATATATATATATATATATATATATATATATATATATATATATATATAGTGAACTCTCTCGTCGCGGACTGCAAATGTGGGCTCAGTAAAATAAAGAGGTGCTCAACTTTTATGGACACGCATGTACCTCCCGAGGTCTTCAGATGTTTTGCAAAATTTTAGACAGATGGAACATCTTGGCTGAGCTATTTTGCTCTAGTGGTTTGGGATAAATTTCCATATGTTTCCGCGAGTTGACAGCAGCGCCTGCTTTACTGCTCACGACAAAGCCACAATGGCCGTGAAGACTATCACCGAGAGGAGCAGCATGATGCCAACACTATTTAATATTTGCACGCAGTTGATCCCAAGGTTCAAGTCGGCCTCGCTCAAATCTTTGTATAGATGAGAAGCAGGACAGGCGCCAGTTCCTTCGTTCTGATGCTTTGTTTTCCCAGGAAGAAAACAGGATGCTGCATCGCTTCAGATTGCCTTTAAGTTTGTCTTTAAAACACAAGAGTGGCCTTCTATCTGACCTGTTTGTGAAAAGGTGGCCAAAGTGAAGTCGTTCTGGAAGTCTGCTATCACTCATACGAGAAAGTTGTCCTACCCGCCTGAGATAGATTTTCATTAGGATACCTTCAGTTGCATTTAGTCAGATGTTCAATATATATATATATATATATATATATATATATATATATATATATATATATATTATAAATTAATTGATTTAAAATATGATTTTATTTCGCTACATAGTTCTAATCATGTTTCAAAAATGGAAGCTAAAAGCTCCGAATTTAATTTTGTAATTAAATTAAAGACCATATTACTGTTCTTTTTCTTTATATATATATATATATATATATATATATATATATATATATATATATTATATATATTATATATTTAGATTGATGTGACTTTTTGTGACCTTGGGTTTTACTCTTTTGCTATCGTCAGACGATCGCAAAAGCGTGAAACCCATGGTCCCTAAACTCACATCAATCCAACCAAATATGTTAGCTCTATCACTGATATTGAGCGCTTTCCAATAAGTACCAACGCATATAATATATAAATAATAAATATAATATATTGCACACACACACACACACACACACATATATATATATATATATATATATATATATATATATATATATATATATATACACACACATATATATATTTATATACATGCATTTTTTATATATATATATATATATATATATATATATATATATCCAAGTGAGACAAAAACATATGGAGCAAAATTACACTTTTCGTAGCATTTATTTTTTAAAAGTGCTCAATGCAAAGTTGACCAAAATATTATTTTTATTATAAGGGATTAGAACAAAAACATGTTGAAATCGCTACAGAATAGCTTCGTATTTCGGTAATATGTCGTCCCCCCATCAGCCGATGGTAAGTAAGTTACCATCGTCTGAAAAAGTTCAACATATGACCAAAACAGGAAACAATTCTGTAGCGATTTCAACATGTTCTTTTTCCAATCTCTTAATAATAATAATAATAATATATATATATATATATATATATATATATATATATATATATATATATATATACCCCTGTGAATAAGACCTGGGAGTCACTCAAGATAGAGAGCTGTGGGTATAAGAAATACATTGTTTGGTGACTATTACTTTCACGCTTCAATGTGTTCATCGGCACAAATGCCACTATTTTTTTAACTTTTAAATAATATACAAAGAAGTAATCTGTAGATAATAATGGCTATGAATAAACTCAACCAACTCCCATACACACTTCCTCCAATTACCCAACCAGCACACACACACAATCTAGAGATCATGATTGTAACTAACGCTTAGCCTTATCTTTAAGCCACACCTTAAGATTGAATAAATGATGTAGTTCAAAATACGCTGAAGGTTACACGGATCAAACACCTGATAAAAGCCGCGGCTCAACGACCGAACTATTGAGATAACAACAGCAAAGATGAGGACAATCGTCGTCATGTAAATAACTCCCAACAATTCAGACGGAATCTAATCAGGTTAGCTATGTTTTTTTTTTTTTGGTTAGAATAAGTTTGATAAAATATACATTACAATGAGTAATTGTTTGTTTTAGGTTGCTTTGCAGTTTATCACCATAGACTTCAATGCAAAATGTTACTCTGATCGTTTTCCCGAATCATAGTGAACATCTAGCAGAATCCCCTTGGTCTCTACAACCAGTTTTGAAAAACTGGACTTTACAATAGAAGAAAATTCTATTCTTTAATTGTGGCCAGCGTGACGGTTATCGGCGCTGAAAGTAAAATCAGCGTGCCGAGTTCAAACTCAAAGCGAGTTTCTTCCGTTCACATCTCACTAATGCCCTTGGAAGATTTACCCTCTTTGTTCTTTAAGTAATATTGTTAACACAATAAAAGGCCCAAGAGCCACTCAGTATAGAATGTTACTGAATGTCTCGCTGTAAATGCGAAAAGGGAGGAATTCATAAGTGCATATTATGGTGATATTTATGATGCATAACGGACGACACGAGACTGAAGAGAAGAAGGGAAGCACCCTCTCGGGAGTCTGTAGCGAGGATGAAGCGGACTTATTGTTGCTTTCTTTTTAACAATAGTATAGGAAAGGAATGAGGGTGTGTCGATTTTGTGTGCTTGGCATGCGATAGAGTAGCGAGAAGCTAGAAGCTTTTCTTCTGTGGTGAAAGGGTTTGTACGGTGGAAATAATTAATCACCCACAAGGCCGTGTAAACGCTTTCGAATGTCAAAGCTGAAAATGAGGATTAGGCAACTTCAGAACATATATATAGCAATGGTCCATTTTTGTTCTGATCTGATTCTTTTAAAGATGAATCAAGTGAGAAAGACTCTTTGAAAGCTGTTAAACGAGGATCGGGCAGGTCCATCATATATCTGCAGCAATGGTTCATTTTTGGTCAGATTTGACTCTTGAAGTGGTACAAGGAGCTGATCATTTTTACAGCATCTTTATCTACTTGAGATCAGGAATGTGCTTGAGTTCCAACAGACGTTTCAGGCAAGAGGCCTCACTGGGTTAATAAATGTTCTTCAGGACGGGAGAAAAATCAAGGTCGGCTCTGCGATGTTACTAGCTACGTATTAAAATAACAGGGCGATCGACTGCTATTCTCTAAGGTCTCCGCTGGTCATGGTTGCTCATGGATAGCATCTGAGTTGTCTTCTTGGCTGTAGCATCGACGTCTGTGACTGTAAAGGCCGATGCGGGAGTGGCAATCTCTTTTGCAGAGGTCGCGTGTGTGTTCTGTTTCTAGTCTGTTGGAGCGGTCACTGTTGCAGGCCCGCCTTTCCGTGGCGACTTGTGGCAGATTCTTCTCCCCTGACTTGGTCTTTGATCAAGGTTCCTCTCCATTTTGATGTCCACAGCTTTCATTTTACGCCTCATGACATCGCAACTGTGGCCGCCCGGCGGGTACCATTCCAGAGGCCAGCTCATTATACAGGAGTTCTTTGGGGATGCGGCAGTCTGACATACGGTGGACGGGGCTTAACCAACGGCGTCTGCGCTGTCTGAGCAGTGCGAACATGCTAGGCAGACCTGCTCGAGACAGGACCTCAGTGTTGGGCACCTTGTCATGCCACGCCCTTTTCAGGATCCGGCAGAAAGTCTATAGTAAATATGATGCCCTAACGACTTAAATGGGTTATGGTACTAGAGATCAGAATCGTGTTGATGCTGGTATTTAAATCTAATCCTATTTTGTAAGGTCAATTAATCTACAGCTTATAGAATATAGTGGCGATGAATAGAAATTATATATAAAACATGTTCTCGGAAAAGGCATATAACTATCTTTCTCTAGCTGCGGGATAAAAAATACAAGCAAGACTCAGCTCTCTTGCCTTAGTTTGCGGTCAGTCTAGGAGAAGGAAGTCTTTGAATTCAAAAACTCATAAATAATAAGGTAGACTATGTACTTTACCTTTGGTAGGGTAGCCATTCTACGAGAATTAAAACTGTGAATTCAAAACCAGTCTGAAGAAGGATGATTTCATCAGATTATCTTATTTTAGATAAACATACTCCAACCCGAATGACTTAAGCTTTTCGTGATGATAATGATGCTGCTGCTAGCTTAATGGGATTCTATTTTGAAAGGTCACTTGATCTCCAATATATATATATATATATATATATATATATATATATATATATATATATTTATAGAAATGATATAGAAAATAAACGAGGAAGGAATTTGGATTTAACCAAACTCGAATTCTAGAATAACTAAAACAGATTTCGGAAGGAAACCTTCAAATTCTTTAGAAAATCTTTAAAAGAAATGAAAAAAAAAATTAACAGCCATATTTTATTTTCTTCATAAAATATGGCTGACGACACTTCCGAAATGAAAACCACAGCACAATAAATTAATTTTAAATTCGCAAAAAGATTTTAAAAAAATAAAAAGCTAAAATTATTTTTTCTTGGTTCGTTTTGCCGGTTTCATTTTTTTTCCTCACTCTATTAAACTATTATACTTGAGGCAAGTTTATTTTAATTATTTGTTTTCCTTTCTTTCTTCCGTTTCGTGTACTTTTCATGAATTATCTCCCTTTTTTTCCTGTCTTTCTCACAAACCATTTTAGGTTAGGAATACATTTGAACAAATAGAAAAGAGAAAGAGAGGATATAAGACCAAAAAAAAAAAAAAAAAAAAGAAAAAGAAAAAGAAAAAAGAAAAAAGAAAAAAAAAGAAATCAAGCAAACAAACAAATACTTCTTCGCTTAAATGTAAGATAATTTATTGCAACTGACAAATAAGACCATCTTTGAAGATGCAATAGCATAAATCGAAGAAGACATTGCAAGCACTAAAGATTCTCACACTTAAATATCACAATTTTGAATAAACTGACCGAAAAAAGGAAAGG